GTGCATTATATACATACTTTTAGATTAAATTGTGAACACAAATGTTTAGTGATTGGAACATTAAAATAGGTGTCTATAATATAATTGAACCCTTTGCCTGAATGATGATCAACTTTAGCTTAGAGTGGAATTTTAATTGTCCCCAATAATTTATTAATTTTATATATTAATTTTAAAGCATAAACATACTTTATGCTTTAAAATTAATATATTCCAATCATACTTAGTGCTGGGCTTTATTATTTATTTATTTATTTTTAAATTGTGGTTCTGGGCATTGAATCCAGGCACACTGTACAACTAAACTACATACCCAGCTCCCACTTTTAAAAAATATTTTGAGACAGGATCTCACTAAGTTGCCCAGGCTGGCTTGAACTTGTGTTCCTCCTGTCTGAGTCTCCTGAGTAGTTGGGAATGCTTTCACACACTAACCATGCATAGCTATTTATTAATGACATCTAATAAGTTAAATTTAAAAGTTAAATTTATTATTTATTAATGACATTTTTCTTCTCTTCAAATATTTATTGTACAGCTGCCATTGTGTCTTAAGAGATCCATAAAGCTCCAGTTGGTATTGTCCAACAGAAGGAATTCCTGTTTTTTTCTCTTAAGCAGACAGGGTCAGGGTTTTATTTAATACATTCATGATTGACTTGGGTTAGGACTGGTTGTAGTTCTTTTAAGATTTTTTGGTTGAGTATTTGTAAAAGGACCTCCTCCCTCTAGCAGGACTGTCTCCTAAATACTGTGAGATTTTGGGACATTACACTTTGTTTTTTAGAAGCCCTGGCGCCCTAGTTTCCTATTTATAGCTTCAGAACTAAAACCAGTTATGTTTGTGGCTTCTCAAATTCTAATCTATCACACAAACCCTGGCTARTAGCTCAAACCTCCCAAACCACTCATTTCTCTTCCATTAGATAGCATGCGCGAGGCCTTGGGTTCAATCCCTAGCACTAGAGGGAAAAAAGTATCACCTTTAGATTGTGACAGAAAAGAGCAGACTTCTTATTTCTGTTTATTTTATCCAGTTTTATAAATATCAATCATTTGATTTTTGTGAATAGGGATAACATGGTAAAATATTTGAGGCAACTGTGTTCGTCGTATTTACCTTTACAGTTTGAGTTTATTGCTTGATGGTAGTACAGGTCACATTCACTTTGAAGACATTTTCCAAAAGTTTTGTAAAAATGCCCCCGGCCATCATCCCTAAGTATTCCTCCCCAAACCCATGGCATAGGTACCTAGGTTTGAACTCTACTCTTCTTTGAAGTTATGTTATTAACAGCAAACATTTATATAGTGTTTACTATAAGTAGGTGCTCCTAGTGCAGGGAAATCCTTGACCTCTTTTAATGCTTAGAACAGCCCTATGAAATCAGAGATGCAGCTAGGATTTAAATTGAGGCCTGGGAAACACCGAAGCCCATGTTAAATATTGTTTTATATCACCTTCCTATTTGATGTTGACCACATTATAGATATGCAAACCTCTGTAACTCTGAAACCCAAAAAGCTTTAGAAATGGATAGTCTTTTCATGTCTCATTTGGTGGAAAAATGTGATCTGAATGTATAAGAAGATATTTATGTTATTTATTTTTTTATGATGGGGTTATATAATGTTGCCCCAGGCTGGCCTCAAACTTCTGGACTCAGGCATTTTTTTCTTGCCTCAGCCTCTTGAATGGCTGGGACAATGAGTACATGCCAGTGTGCCCAGCTATTGATATATTTTGTTTATTCCATGTAATGTGAATATTCGCATATCTTGCTGCAGATAGAGTAAATGTGTTAGATCAGTAGATACTGCTATAGAATCGTTCTAAAAGAGTTGCTAAATATATGGTATGTGCACTATGTTACTTCCTAGAATACAAGACATCCTGGCATCTAAAACCCTCTAAGAGATTGTAGCTCTCTATTTAATTTTTATAATATTTAGTTTTCTTTTCTGTAGAGATGTTAAAATCTCCTAGTAGGTCTGTATAAGAATTATGTGAAATAGTTAATATATATAACCATTTGAGATACTGGGTGATAGGAAATATTCACTTTGTTGGGTTATTACTATTGTTATCTTGGACTTTATATTCAGCTGTACAGTTTGAATTCTAAAGCTAGAATATGTAGAAAATGTGAATTTTGTTCAGCTTGCAGCTGAAACCCAGTGCTGCAGTATATTGGTAACAAGATTAGTGAGAGCCATGCCTTTTACAGAATGTTAGTTCATTTTATCTACCAGTAACTGTTTAGAATGTAGTGATTTTTCTCTTGTAAACGTACATTATCCTGTAGGCAAGGTTTTCTTACCTTTTCATGTCATTATGCACATAGAAAATCCTTTACTGGAACTGGGGATGTGGCTCAGTGGTAGAATACTTGCCTAGCATGCACAAAGCCCTGGGTTTGACTCCCCAACACCACAAAAAGAGAGAAAAGAAGGAAAGAAAATTTCTTTTTTTCTTTTTTTTTAAAGAATCAAATGTATAGATCAGTTTTTATTGAGTGAATTTTGTGGGGGTTTTTTTGGTAAATATATATATTTACTTATTTTTATTTTTTAGAAAATTTCTTATCTAGGCAAATGAGGGAAGAGAATGTATGACACTACTTCTGAAACTCCAGGCTTACATGGCCTCCCTGAGGGCTGAGGGAATCAATATGGCATACCTGAGAAATACTGTGGTAAATCACTATATATATATATACACACACACACACACACACACACACACCAAATGTAAGGTGAAGATAAATGAAATTCTAGAAATTATTAGTGGATTTACCTTTTATTACTTCTTCTGCTTAAGTATCTATTGAAAGCATTTTAGAAAGTCCAGATAATACATGGATGAAACTTATATTTTTTTTTTCAGTACTGAGGGTTGAACCTAGTGATACTCTACCATTGAGTTACACCYCTCACTCTTTTATTTTTTATTTTGAGATAAGGTCTCCCTTAGTTACATAAGTTGTCTTCAAACTTGGAACTTAGAATGTTTTAAATAATTAAGTCTCTTAATTGCTTGTCTTCTACCAGTCAGGAATGAGATGGAGTAACAATTTTACTTAATGTTTTGTAAAATATATTTGTTGGTATCCTCAATTAAGTATGCTTTACCCCTAAGGTAGAATTATGAAACAATCATGATGTTTTCTTACAATATCTAAAGCGTTTCAATGAGTGTATGATATTTAATTTAGGGCATTCAATTTTTTTAAGGGTCTGTCATTTATTCTTTCTCCTAAAATTACAGTAAAAATTAGGTTGGGGGCTGGGGTTGTGGCTCAGTGTTAGAGTGCTTGCCCTGCATGTGTGAGGCACTGGGTTTGATTCCCAGTACCACATACACATAAATAAAATAAAGGTCCATCAACAACTAAAAAGTATTTTTTAAAAATAGGTTGGGTCTGATAATTTTGCCAGCTTTTTTTTTTTTTTAATGTACAAATTTGGAGTTTGTTAGAAATTATTTGCCACAGGGTTTTAGGGCAAGGGCACAATAAGAAGTAGTTTCACATTATTCTACCCCACCTCCTGTCAAGCCTAGTCTTTCTACCAGATTAAAAAAGGGAATAAGAGCTTTATAGAACATAAGCTGGGAAAATTATTTCTATCTGTAAATTTCATTTAGGACTGCAAAGCAAACATTCAGGAATTGTGAATGCTTAAGACTTTGGCACAAGAATTTGGGGACCAGAAAAGATACCCGTTATCTTATTAGTTTCTCTTGAAGGATTCTCAATTTGAAGGATTCAAAGGAAGCTTTCTTCTTGCTGGTCTGTTTGTGTTGGGGGAACCTCTTCCTTGGGTCTCGGCAATCTAAATGGGGTTTACTGAWTAAGTGGTGTCTAGTGATCTATTTATGGCTTCTCTTTTTTTCTCTTTTCTCGAACTTCTATAGAGAGGATGAGGATGAGAGAGGGGCATAGGTGGAAAATATGTACCCATGTCTTAGAACAGAGTTCTGATGAGACCTGAAGCTCTGCCTGCTCGAGGTTGGGTTCTTTCAATAGGATTTTTCTGAAGTAGAATAGTATTTCTGACAGGCTTACACACCTTTTTTTGTAACATTTTACTACTTTTAAACTTGTTACTCAGAATAGCGGATGATTCTACAATAGTCATTGGCTTAGAATATTTGTATGTGTTAATTTGGAAAGAATGTGGCTGTTCAGCATTTCTTTGAACCAGGGCATATTACTTATTAGCTAGGTTGCTTGTTTTTTTGCAGAATGTTACATCTCCATTCAAATCCCAAATTTGAATTATAATATCATAAAACCTACCAGTATTCCCTAGAATACATGGTAATAAATTTTGTTAAGAAAAAAACAAATTCTAACAAATTTSTTTTCATTATGGAAACAAAGAGTCATTTTGATAAAAACCATGTATTGCTTATGAACATGCACATATACTTTGAATTTTTATTGTAATTGCCCTTCCCTTTCATTCCCACAAGACTGTTAAAAAGATCAGATACAGTTTCCTCTCAACCTTCATTATTTTAACCTCAGAAGTGTGAAATATTGATGTATTAAGGGAATAGAAACTACAGAAGAGTTTTCTGTAATTGTTGGAAAATAGGATAGCTCTGTAAGTGAAATTTGCAAGGCAGATAGAGCGAATGAGTGGTATCAGCTTGTCTGACTGGTATTCTTAGAATAGAGCATGCAGCCCTAAAGCTGGGCCAGGTAGTCACAACAGTGCTTCATGAGGGGGTCAATCAGTGTACAGACAAAGTGTCCCCTGGATCTCTCTACCTTTTGCAAACTTCTCTTACCCTAAAACAAACAGGGGTCTAGGGCTTACCTAGCATGTGAGAGGCCCTGGGTTCAATCCTCAGCATCATGTAAAAATAAATAAAATAGGTGTCCATCTACAACTAAAAAAAAAAAAATTTAATATTTTAAAAAACAAAACAAAAATATTTTGTCTTTTGATAACAATCTCAGAATTGAGAACTCTTTGTTTTTTCCTTTTAGAAAACTGAAGAATGGGAAAAAAATAAGACTGAAGCAGACATGGAAGAATATATATGGAAAAATAGTGCCTCAGAAAAAAATATCCTGGAAACACTTCTTCAAATTAAAGCTGCTGAGAACACAGAAGTAAATAAAGAAGAACTTCTTGGAACTAAAGAAGTTGAAGATTACCAAAAATCTGTTGTTACTCTTAAGAATGAGGGGGAAAATGAAATTACCCTTTCTCAGTACAAAGAATCAGTGAAGAGAATATTAAGTTTGGCATGAATTACAACATAGAAAACCCTGCTTTGATATACTAATTTTATGATATATGTAATCAATATCTAATTTGATATAAAAGTGAAAATGTTTAAAAACCATTATTTTACATCAGAGTTAAAATTGTTCCTTTCATTCAAATGTATGATGGCAATGATTATTTCCAAGTTTTCTAAGCTTATACACTGGGTTTATTAGACTAATCAGAAGATCTCTGTGATTTCTCTGCTTCTAACTTTGATTTTATTTCTGTATAACATCTTTAATATCCGTATACTTACATATATATAATATTAAAGGTGTTAATATTCATATTAAGTATTATTTTGTCACCTGCCACATTTCTTTCCCCTCAGATTGGCATTATTGGCATTATTGGCTTTTGAGAGATGATTTTGGTTATTTGAAAAGCTAGGCTCAGAACCCAGCCCCTTCACTTGCAGCTCAGTGCTGTTTCCATGCTTGTTAGCCTTACAATCTATCCTACACTATCGCCAATTCTGGGTTGAAACAGATCCTCAATTAAAGTATTTTCTAATCTAAAAAGTTTGTTCCATCTCTCCCTTTTAGGGTTCTTCATGCTATTTCAACTCTTTCTATGTTCTGGAGCTCATTTTGGCAAACTCAAGCTAGCAGAAAAATACAAGTGGATATTAGCTGGTATTCATCTCTCTGATGGCCCAGTTAGGGATGCCACAACTTGAGAACGAGATGAGGATTAAGACCTTGAATTTCATTGGAGTAAGTGGCAAAATGAAAACTGCTCTTAAAAACATTCCATTCATTTGTCAAKTCAGTGTTTGGTTTTGGTTTTTGTGCTGGGGTTTCAACCCAGGGCCTCCTGCATGCTAAGCTCACTCTGTACCACGGAGCTATATACCAGCAGCCCCAACTCAGTATATTACAAGTTACTTTTACCATTTCCAAGTTGTTAACAGGTGATTAATTTAAATCACAATGAAGGAATTATTGAGATTGCATTTACCTAACAGATGTGTTTTGCCCAACAGAATTAGAGAATATAAATGAAAGTCAAAAGGAGTTTCGAACCAGTTGTCTAAAATATTTGTAAAATGATAGTGTGATTTGGTAGTAGTAAAACCAAAAGTCTACAGGTTATAAAAAGAATGAAAATGTTGCCTGGAGTACCAAACAACAACAACAAAGAAGAATGAGCAGTATGTTGTGTTCCAATTGGATACAGACAGTGAATGAAATGCAAGACAGTTAAAAATGACTTTTTCAATCATGTTAGAGCATACCTAAAGAAATATGTCAGCATATTTAAAATTCTGTGGTGTAAAGGAAAACAGATACAGAGTTGAAAAAGGAAATATTTTGAAAGCAGTAAAAGCTGAGGGGGTGATAATTTGCCATCATGTCAGGAGGCATCAGTTAGGGTAATCATTCAGTGCAGATGAAAGGTGAGGGAATAGTACTATGCAATGAAGAATTTGATCTTGCCAAAGATAGATCTGGCCTTTGCTGTCTGCCTCTGGTAGGCAATCTACATCATACCTGAGAGGAGTATCTTTATTTAGGGTGGGGGGCAGCCCCCAAGGATCTGAGGGTGGGACAAGCCATGCCAAAAAATAAATAAAACTCACAATTCAGGGTGGGAGTGTTGGGTCACTCAGTGTCAGTCCACCTAGCATCTGAGATCAACTATCCCTGTGATCTAGTCAGTTATACCTGTGTGATGGGTGCTTCCCTTGTGGGTGATTTTAACCTGTGCTTTCACTATAATAAACCACACTGTGCAAGTAAAAACTTTCATTGAATTCTGCTAAGTTTTTCTAGTGAATAAAATTTTTTTGTACTTGAGATTTATCCCAGGAGTGCTTTGCCACTGGGCCATATCCCCAACCCTTTTCATTTTTTATTTTAGGGACTTAGTTGCTAAATTGCTGAGTTGCTTAAGGCTTAGCTGCTAAATTGCTGAGATTGATCTAGAACTTATATTCTCTTGCCTTAGCCTCCTGAGCTGTTTTGATTACAGGGATGCCCCATTGTGCCCCACTCTCTAACCTGAGGGTGGTTTTGCAATCACCTGCAAACTTATAGTTTGTGTCAGAAGTGAGGACAGTGTTTGATTTAGATGTGGTGTTCCCTAAAAGCTCACGTGAGACAATGCAAAGAGCTTCAGAAGTAAAATGATTGGGTTATGAGAGTCTTAACCCAATCAGTGAATTAATCACCTGATAGGGATTAACTGAATGAAAATTTAAATTGAGGGTGGGACTGAAGGATGTGAGAATTGGGATGTGGTTTGAGGGTATGTATTTCTATCTCTCTGTGCTTCCTGATCATGGTGTAAGCTGCTTCCCTCTGCCACACTCACCCACCATGATATTCAGCCTCACCTCTAGCCTTGAGGAATAGAGCCAGCCTTCTATGGACTAAGGCCTCTGAAACTGTGATCCCCCAAATAAACTTTTCCTCTACAGTTGTTCTGGTTAGGACCTTTTAGTCATAGCAGTGAAAAAGCTGACTAAAACAGATAGCCTTGTAGGGGGCTGTGTCCTCTCAACTTCTGTAGTTTGCCAATTCCAAGTAACTGACTTGAGGCTGGGGGTCATAGCCATTGACAAGTTCAACTGCCTAAACTGGGTATGGTGGCACACACCTGTAATCCCAGCAACTGGGGAGGCTGAGCAGGAGGATTGCTAGTTTGAGGCTAGCTTGGACAATGTGGTGAGGCCCTAAGCAACTTAGCAAAATCTTGTCTCAAAAAACTAAAAAAGGGCTGGAGCTGGAGCCCAGTGATGGAATGTCTCTGGACTCAATCCCTAGTACTGCAACAGTATCTCAAAACTTGTTGTCATCATTATAATTTTAGCAGTAATGAAGTGGCTTTTTTTGTCATTAATTACCTCCTTGTCCTTTAAAATCTGTTAGTTGATACAATATATACTATGAACATTATCATATTTATCCTTAAGATAGGGACTCTAGGGTATATTGATAGTGCAGTCATTTCTTACCTCAAATTCTGTTGCATCATTCAGAAGTTGCTTGAACACTTAGGCAACTAAGAAGTAGATCAAATCTGCTTTCTTAATTGTGGGTTTTTGTTTTTTCTTTGCCTGTTTTCATTCCAACCCAAGTATGGTAGTGCAAGGCTATAATCCCAGCTACTTGGGAGGCTGGGGCAGTTTTGGTATTTCATAAAATTGAACAGTTGCATGCTTTTTTTTTTCTTTAAAAAGTCTGGTGAGTTATATTGTTAAGAAGATTCCATGGTTACTTCCTAAGTGGGCTTAACAAMCTTAGCCTTAGTTACTGACTGGGCCCTCAGATTTTTTATTGTTTCTTAATAAAATTTTAAATCTTACTCTGAAGTTTTCTTTGGTCCTTTTGGCTTCTAGTATGGATATAGTTTCTAACCCCAGTTATTTTTGCTTCATTTCTGACTGATCTCTAGGTTGCCTGTCCAGTCCAAGTTTACTCAGTTTATCTAAAGGGCAAAAATAGGGCCTGAAGAAGGGCTGGTGTATGTTGGTTTCCTTACAATCGCAAATATGTTCTTTTAAAATTATGGCCATTTTTATGAAACTATGAACTTCAAGAAATAAGTAAAATTCTGAGAAACTCCAAAGAGGAAAATAAAAAATTCTTCCCCTTAGGAGCTGAAGTTTGTTGAAAGACCTAAGCAATTTATACATACTTAAAGTTATTTTTGAAAAGGATGAATATAATTGAGGGTGTAATTCAGCAGTAGTGTGATTGTCCAGCATGTGTGAGGCCCTGAGATTGATGCCAGTACTACATTAAAGGAAAAAAACTATAAATATAATTGTATGGTAATTTAAATTTTGATATTCCCTTTACCAGTGAAATGGGGGTGCCCTCTTAATGTGTTAGGAAATAACACATTCTCTCTTTGCTTAATATTATGATGATATCTATTATTATGAATCATTAGCAAGTTCAGGTAAATTGATTACATTTAAAAATCAAATTTCTGGAGCTGAGGATTTGGCTTAGTTGGTAGAGTGCTTGCCTTGCATGCACAAGGCCCTGGGTTCAATCCCCAGGCCTCACATGCACGAACACACACACACACACCAAAAAAAAAAAAAAAAAAAAATCAGATTTCTATTTGTAGTTGATATTCCACTGATAAGAGATTTTGTATACTTTTTTTTTTATTAAAAGAAATATTCATTCTCTATTTCACTCATTAACAATGCTGGAGAAAGAAACATCTTTTAAGCCATTGGACAGTTTATTTTAACACCTGAGAAAACAGTATTTTATTAATCTTGTAATAGGATGTTCCCTTATCCTTTATGCTTATTGACTATCTTTCAGGATTAAGATGAAGGGCCTAAAGATTAAGATCATTAGAGACTTGAATTACAGTATTCTATATTTAAGAATCTGAGTGTAGATGGGTGTGGTGTACACACCTGTAATCCCAGTGGCTTGGGAGGCTGAGGCAGGAGGATCATCAGTTCAAAGCCAGCCTCAGCAACTTAGGCCCTGAGCAACTCAGTGAGACCTGTGTCTAAATAAAACACAAAAAGGGCTGAGGATGTGGTTCAGTGGTTCAATCCCTGATACCAAAAAATAAACTAAATTTGAAAAATTTAGTGTTTAGAAGTAGGGATAAATCTGGTTTGACATTTAGACAGAGCTGAAATACCTAGAAATAGTATTTCCACCTGGGAAAAACAACGGTTTTATTATTTTTCTTTGGTCTTTTTGTTTAATGTGTGTGTGTGTGTGTGTGTGTGTGTGTGTGTGTGAGGATTGAACCCAGGTCTTTGCACATACTAGGCAAGTGCTCTCATATACCTAGGAAAACAATGTATACAAGCAAAGGATATAAAATAAAACTACCAAATTTTGTTCAACAGAATAAAGGAGCTCAGAACCATACTTACTGAAAGATATCTCAGCTTTAGAAAATAAAATTAGGATTAAGATTGAGAAGGATCAATCAATTAAACATAAAAGAAGGAAGTATTTACTTGTGGATTAATAACAATAATAGTGTGTTTTGGTTAAGCCACTAAATGATTTTATTACCACATGTGACAGTAATTTGACTTCAACTTTGAGATAAATCTGATGGTATTTTCTTCTTGGCRTCCTTTTTTTCATGTTAATTGGAAAAAATAGGTTCTTAGTCTATTGGTGATTTTGAGCATGGGCTTTTGAATTAGACTGCCTATGTTTTAACTAAGTCCTGACCCTGATACTTACTAGCTATGTGACTTTAGCCAAAATGCTCACTCTCTCTTCACCTAAGCTTCCTTAGCTGTAAGATACAATAGTAATAGTATAATAATAGCATAATATTGGGCAACAATGACAGTTAATAATAGTTCATCTAACAGAGTTTCAAGGATCCAGTTAGTTCATATCCCTAAACCACTGAGAACTTTTATCTCCTACATGGTAGTAAATAACAACTCTAGGAGTCAGACTTTTGGAACTGTGGCAGAGGGACCACTACTCAAAAATTGAAAATAATCAAGAAAGCAGATATGTTTACTAAACATTTTCCTTTTTAGAAATAGGAGTGACTATCCTGTATAATTATATTTTTTAATCAAACTTCCGTTGTCTTACAGAAAACTGAAAATTATTACCTTTAAAGCTTACAATCTCACAACATCTTTTAAGAGTTGTCTTTTAGCATATTATATTTTTTACYTTGCTTGGATCCTGACTTTCGTTGTCCTGGTTTATACTGGCCCTGATGCTTTCGACAGCATCTGGTTGCCAGGATGACCGTACAACAGCAAAGAAAGAGGACAGAGGTGCATAAGGCCACAGAAGCTAGCCAGGTCTTTGAAGTCACAGGTGCCCCATTAAGTGTCTCCTCTTCATTTTCAGATGTCTGGTTTCTGCTGTTGTACCCCTTGGTTTTATTTAGTAATTGCTTGCTACTGTTGAGTCGGGATGGAATAGGCATAAGAGAAAGCTTTGTGTTGATGGGCACAAAGAAAGGAGAAACAGTCTGATTGTCTGGATCACTGATTAAGTCAGTGCTTGGTGACACCATATTTACCTTAGTGGTAATGGAGTCATTCAGGGAAATGAACCTTGCCCAAAGATCTATTGTTAATTCCTTGGAATAACCAGTACTGTTTGTGTTTACAACCAAATCTTGATGTGGGGCTGATGATGGAGCCTCTATTGATGGCAACATACGGTTTATCGTGGTAGTTTGTTGTTTATTATCTAAATTCATAGCTTTTAGAATCCTTAGTCTATCCCACCTATCAGATGAAGAACGGGTGTTTAGATATGTGGGAAGTGATTGCTCAAAAACCAGCAAATCTGGATCCATACCTGAAAGATAAATAAAATACATTAATTCAAAGAGAAAACCTTAAGCACAAATTGGAGAAAACTGTGTTGGGTTTTGCTACAATTAATTATTGAACTAAGCTAAGTTCAACCATTGCAAACTCCTAAAAAGCTTAGCAATATACTAACTTCATTTGAATTTATCTTAACTTCCAGGACATTTTCTGCTATGGACAAATTCAGCCACACCCAAGAAGGTTTTGCACAATAATAGTGTTAGTAGAAAGCTGCAGAAACAGTAACCTTGTGAGCTATGATAGAACATTTTAAAATAAATTGATAAAATAGGATCATAATTCAAAATCAAGAGTAAAGCCTCAAATCTCATCCCTTTCCAATCCTTAAGGGTCTTGCTTTTAGTATTTCCTCTTTTGTATACTAACTCCTTTTCCTCTGACTTCAGGCATGCTCAAATCCTCTGCTTCTTTAGAGAGRAAGAAAAAAGCTCAATAGCTTTCTGATGGTCTCTGTTAAGAGACTACATGGTGGGTATGTCTGTCTGTCTGTTTCTCTCTCTGAAATCATGCCAACATCCATCTCCTTCTTTGTTTTGCGTCTGTAGTCTTCTTAACATTCCTCACTATTCTGTCAAAATAATGTTTCTAAGGCAATCATTTCTCTTGTTTTTTTTGGTCCTAGAGATAGAACCCAGGGGCACATTACCACTAAGCTCTATCTTCAGCCATTTTTATATTTTTTGTTTTGAGAACAACTTAATGAGAACCTTCTCACTAAGTTGGCCAGGCTGGCCTTGAGCTTGCAGTCCTCCTGTCTCACCCTCCTGAGTAGCTGGGATTATATGTGTGCACTACCGTGCCTGGCTTTCATTTATCATTTCTTGATTACTTGCATCTYATTGCTTTGGCTGCTCTCTGGTCCTCAGTAATGCTGAGGATCCTCTTGAAATTCTTCTCTCATGACTCACTAGACTCCAGACCCCTTCACATTTGCCCCAGGTTCCCTGCTTCTCAATTTTACTGTTTTGTTCTCTTCTTGTTCCTAACTGGCTGTATAGTTTCTACATTCTCAGTCCTTGGCCTTAAGTTCTGCTACCCCTTGACTGCTTTCTTATCACCCTCCCTCCCCCCACACACAAGAAAATTGTCCCCATCTGCCACCACAACATTGATGACACTGGAATCTATATCACCAATTTTTTCCTCTTTCTTGAGTTCTGGCTTTGTCTCTCCGATGTTTTCCACCTGCACACCTTATGTCGACTTAACTGAATAAGCCCAAAGCTGACATCATTACATCTGCCTCCTTGTCTCAGTCAGTGGCATTATTGTTCTTCCATCCCCCAAACTGGAGTCTGCACTGGAGTGATTTCTGACTCCTTCATTTCCTTCATTCAGAAGGTAACTAAGGCTAGACACAGTGTCACATGCCTATGATCGAAAGTTTGAGGCTGGCCTGGGCAACTTAGTGAGACCATATCTCACAATAAAAAAAATAAAAATTGCTGGAGATATAGCTTAGTGGTAGAGTGAAAGTGTCCCTGAATTTAATCCCAGGTACAAGACAGAGAAAGGAAGGGAGAAAGTGTGAAGAAAAAGAAAGAAAGGCAAAAAGATAAGTCCAGTTCACTCTGTTTCCAAAGAAATTCCAATATTCTGGTAATCATCCCTCCTTTCTATGGCAACTATAATTACCTTGCCCAGATCTTATGCCCCTCTGACCAAATTTTCTTTCTCTTCTTTTTTTCTTTTTTTTTCCCCCTCCGATACTGGGGAGGTATATCACCAGTCCCTTTTATTTTTTATTTTGAGACAAGATCTTGCTAAGTTGCTAAGGTTAGCTTCACACTTGGGACTAGACTTTCTGCCTTGTGCCCTGCATGTAATTTTCCTAGACTAAGGTCATCAGACTTACCATTTTAATTATGCTGTTTCCTCATTAAATGCCTTTATCAATTCCCTATTTGTGAAAAATCCCTTCCAAAACACTACTCTGTCCATAGCCCTTTGGCTAACTGACCCCACCCTCTCTAGATAGCCATATTTTCACTGCAACTTCAAATGTCACCATACAGTAACTACTCCAGTTTTCTTACTTTCCTATGATGTGATACAGAACTCATTTTGCTTCCTCCTGGCCTTTTCCAAGGACTCCCCACCACCACCTGCTGAATAAAATAGCTCTCATTAGTCTGCCCTTCTTGGAGTCTTTGTAATGAGGCAGTATCAAATATTTTTGTACTTAGTTTTATCTTTTACACTAATTGGAAGACTTGTCACATCAACAAGATTATAAGGAACTTGAAGGCAAAGATATGGCCACAGTTTTCTACAATGTTGAACCCAGAATGGAGCATTACGTTTTCAATGAATACAAATACCCTCTTTGTATTTTGATGACAAAACATATTCTTCAGAATCCTTGTATGCAGTGTCTATAAACCTCAAAGCTGCCATTTATTATTTTCTTTATTTCTTAGCATCACCCTTTGCCACTACAGTAGAAATGCTTAATTTGGCTCTTGTTTCGAGTTCTTGAAATACATGAAATACAACGCTTTAGCTTTTGTTCAATTGCATATGACTTGTTATTGTCTGGAATGAATTCATCCCTGTTGAATGTGCCAAACTAAAGGGAATCTCCTTCCAGTTTTCTGCCCTGAATATCCAAACCATTTCCAGGCAGAGTTTACTKGAAAATAATGATTTAGGGACATAACACAGAGCTATTGCCAGGATATATGCTTCTACTAGAGTATTACCAACATTCTTCAAAAGTTCTGAAATATATCATCATTACCATCTGTTATGTTGTACAAAATGGCACTGGTTCCGGGCTCTAATATGCAGCTCTCCAAGGTTGGGCAGTGGATATGTAGGCAGTTGACATTGTCATGAATAGGATCATAGAAGAAGACAGCCAAATTACAGGAAACTGAAAAGGAAAGAGACAAAGTACATCTGTAGAAGGTTTTGATTTCCATCAGTTTGATGAGCTCCGAATAACTTACATTTCTTTCAGAAATACTAGATTAACACTATATTGCAGAACTATATTCAGACTTTTTTTTTTAATGTACTAGAGATTGAACTCAGGGGAACTTAACATTGAGCCACACCCCCAGCCCTTTTTATTTCTTTTTATTTTTTATTTTGAGAGGTCTTGCTAAGTTGCTTAGGGCCTCACTAAGTTGCTGAGGCTGACTTTTTTCTTTTTTGGGTTCTGGTCTGAGAGAACTTTATTTACAAAAACAGGTGATAGAATATTTTTACAAATGTTTTAATTTGTTCTAATTCATTATACATGATAATAGAGCTGAGGCTGGCTTTGAACTTGTGATCCTCCTGCTTCAGCCTCCGGAATCCCTAGGTTTACAGATGTGTGCCACCATACCTAGTTTATGTTCACACATTTCACAGAACATTATGAATTACTGTAATGGCATTTATGAATATTAAAAAATGCCTTTTGAAATGAAAACATCCCTTAATTTTCTCTAAGTAATCTTTCACACATTCCATTCCAGTTGGATGTCTAGAATCATTATTTTCTAAGTCTCAGTATTTTGTATTCATGAAAAATTTAGTTGGCTACAAAAATCTCTGGGAACTTATATTGGTTTCTGGGTGCAATGACCTCACAGAATGCTAAGGTGCTGAGGCCCACCAGAGAGAGAAATAGAAAAATAAAGGAAAAAATTCTGTAACCTAAGAAGAGGGAGTAACAGGAAGGGCAAAAGAATAATGATATTACTGGGGGAAAGCAAATGATGGAAAAGCAGCAGGCCAAGTGACCCTGACTACGGGTGTGCACTAGCCCTGTGTGCAAAAAAATTACATCCAAGGAAAAGCCTAATCAGTGTTAATTAGAGTGGCAGGCCATGGATATGCACACAGATTGCAGTGATGGAGCACATCACTTGCTCATGCTGTCTCCCCTTTTCTAATCAAACTTGTTCCTCAAAAATGTGCTATTTTCTGGAAAACCTAAAGTCAGATTTGTTGGATGCAAATCTTCAGTCAGATTATCTATCTTCCCTAAAATGCAACAGATTTTTGCTTTTGCTCCAGTGTAGTCATAACCATGTGAAATATTCGTTGGCCAAAAGGTATCAAATTATTTAATAAAATTAGACTAGAGAGGGCAGTTTATGGTTACCAGACCCCACAGCACGTCTTAGCTGTGGAATCGCTGCTAGTAGAGACTGTATCACTTCTGTGTGAGGTTAACTATAAGGAGCGGCATCTCCACCATTACTTCTGGGACACCCTCAGCTTTCTGCATCCTTATTTTTCCAGAAGAAGAAAGAATAGGACAAAAGTTAATGAATAATACATTGCTAATACATTACAGATTATAAGTATAATCTCTAAGGACTGTGAGGTAAAGTTTTAAGGGAAAGGTATTAAAAAATTCAAATTTAAGACATTTAAATTTCTGACAAGAAAGTAGTTTATGCTGTAGAGAACAGTTTTTAAAGACTTTTTTTTATACTCCAGGTGTACATTTCAGAGTCCCATTTCTGAGCATGATTGTGGCAGTTGAAATTTCTGGCTTCTAGCTAAAATCTGGGCTATGCCTTCCTGCCCTTTCCTGTTCTGAAGGAAGAAAGCCACAATGTGGAAGCTACAGAGGCTCTAAGATTGTGGAATTGTCCTGGATCTACAATATCCCTGATAATACAGGGGCCACAGGCCTTGGGAATTCATGCCTTGGGAAATTTCAGAAAATGTACAGCCCCTCCTGCCCCCCACTTCCCCTCAGTGGTGGCTTATGAGAGTTAGAAGCATCTGGAAGGTAGAAATTTGGATCAACTGTCATTTTTTAAAAGAATTCCCCTTTATTAAATTAATTGCTTTCTTTGTGCCTTATTAACATTTTTCCTTTTTCTTTTGTGCTTCAGGGGATTGACCCAGGGGTATTCTACCACGGAGCGGAGCAACATCTTTCTTTGAATTTTTAGTTTTGAGACAGGATCTCATTAAATTGCCCAAGCTGGACTTGAACTTTTGATCCAGCTGTCTCAGCTTCCCAGGTTATTGGGCTTATAGGCATGTGCTGCCAAGCTGGCTGTGCCTGATCAGGTTTTAAGGACTTGGCCTGTGACATTTGCTCACATTGCTGTTCCTTGATGATCTGATAATACTCTCCAATTAGCTCCAAGTCTCATTTCAGACATCTTACAGGCATAATTGGGTCAGTGGGATTGGTGAGGGTACCGAATCATGGTTAAAAAAAAAAAAAAAAAAAGTGTGAAATGAAAGGTACGCAGCTCATCGGTAGTGTGTGTCTAGTTTGCAAGAAGCCCTASGATACATCCCCAGTACTAAAAAAGAAAAGAAAAAAAGTGAAACAATGAAGGGAATTATTTTAGTACTGTTTTGCTTTTGTTGTTTCTTTCCAAGTAGGTTTAAAATCATGGGGGAAATGAAAAATAAATGAAAGAAATCTTTAGGCAATTGCAACTTAAAATTCTGCAACAATGAAATGCTTTCCTGATTGAAAGTCTGAATCATATCATAGCCATGATGTTTACACCCATATTCCATTTCACAGAGAAAAAATCCATTTGAAAATTTGGAAAGTATGATTGTTATTATTTGATATTTAACAAAATATTTCAAAACATGATCTAAATTCTGTATTCAATACATCCCACATTTGTCAATCCAMGCAAGCCCATTTCAGAAATCTGCTATGGTACTACTATCACCAAAAGGCATTTTGAAAAGGAAATTAATGTGAACATTTTTGAAATCATATATGTTACATTTKGGGCTATAAAAATACTAATCCTGGTGGAAATATTTTCACTTAGCACTTTTTTGAAGAAAAGAGGATTTTGTTTCTTTTATATTCTATAGCATTCTGGGACCTTACTAGATTTGTAAATTGAGCCTGCTCTGGCTCATCCTGCAAAGCCAGTCTGGTAGCTCTCTTTCTTTCTGCTAGCTTGCTCTCAGGTTCTCTGTGTCCCCGGGCATCTCTCATCCCGCAGAATCTTCTCTGGTACTTTTTACCTCTTCACTGGCCTTTTGCTAAGACTCCTGACTTAGGTCTTCATTCTTGGGCATTCCCTCCTATTTTGCTCAAGTGTTTTATTAATACTCACCATCTTTCCTAAGACAGCAGCTCCTACTGCACTTCTGGCCAGTGCTCTCAGAATAATATTTCAAGAACTGGGCTCCCAGCTTCTGAGACTCTTCCAAATCAATTTGAAGACCTGGGAAGCGGTGGATCCAGCAGTCTCTGTAAAAAACAGTGGGTGAGCAGAGAGAGTCTGATGTCCATCCCATGCTTAGGAGCAGTATCACCTCGGCTGCCACCACTGCCACATGCATTTCTTTGCTGTGAAGAGAGACTCGGAGAAAGTCTGATTTCTGGCCAGAGTTTAAAACTGACCATTAGGGTTTAAGCTCTAAATCTTCTGGGYTCTGAGTAAGGGTAAGCATCCTTGGGACCTTTCTGGAGAGTCATTTTGTAGAAAAAGGAGGCTGTCCTTTGCACATTGGTTTTTCTTTTGTTTCTTCCCACCTGAGCCCCAGGTGAACTTGGGATTTATGGGAGTTCTTTCCAAACTCTTTTCAGGCTATTCCAATCTTCTGTTCCTTTGCCACTTGAAGACGCAGGTTCTCTCCTCTGCTTTTCTTCATTCTCTGAAAGCAAAGAGCCACAGACACCTTTTACTAAGTAAATATAAAGACAAGTGGAAATCCTAGTCAAGTCTTTCTGAGGAAAACAATAATTCAGTAGCTCAAAATCAGATAAAGGAAAGATCTGTTTCACCGGAAATAAGACATTATTTTGTGAGGTCTTCTTTATGGCTTTTAAGGAACTTGTGACCTTGGATTTTTTTTATCAGCTATTTATTTTATTTGAATTTAAATCTGGTGTCCACTAGAAAAACAGTTTGTACATTGTCTAAGTTGTTTTGTTTGTTTTTTACCTAAAAATCCTTGAAAGTAAATAAAATATTAAAATAAAATTTTTATTTTGGAATAATTGTAAGACCATTGAACATAGATCTGGACCCTCTTTGAGCTCAGTGATTTTTTTGTAAAGTGCAGTCATAAGGGGTTGGGGTTGTGGCTCAGAGTAGAGCGCTCACCTCACATGTGCAAGACCTTGGGTTCGATCCTCAGCACCACAAAAAAATAAATAAGTGAAATAAAGGTTAAAAAAATGCTCTCCATTAAAAAAAAAAAAAAGGACAATAAGATTTCTTCTAAAGATTCAGCCATTAGAAAGTGTTCATAATGTACATGGAATACAACACCCTTTGAAGTGTATAGTGTCCAACCAAGAATAATTGTAATTTATAGTAAAAATTGTGAAGAGGTTTAAGAAGAGAATCACTGTTCTCTTTTTTGTTTTCTGATGTTCACATTTGCAAATTATAAAATGGGTGACAGCTTTGTGAAGTACATACAGAAAGGCATAGCATCTCTGAAACAAAGTAGTTGCTGTAGAATACACATTTCAATGGTTTTAAATATCTAAATAGTAACAGAAATACTTCAACTGCAGTGTCCAAACATTTGAGACTGCAGTAAACAATGGCTTCCTGGTTATATGATAGTTGTGGGTTCTTTATCTCAATCATGATAACTAATCATGTCCAAGCTAACRAATTAGTTTAAATCAAGAAATTGCTGCTTTCTTCTTTCCATTTTTATATAAAGCAGTGCTTCTGGCATGAAGTACTACTACTTTAAAAAGGAAAAGGTGAAACTAATCTTCCTGATCTTTGATCTGTGTTTCTTTCAGACCTTTTTGCACAATAACTTATTTACCTCATTAACCTACTTGACCCCAAAATGTTAACATTATTCAAATTTTCATCTCTCCATGTGTTTTCTAATTATAGATAGCCTACTTATATTTTYAACTTTTTAGAAACATATATTAATGGGGAAAATTAAGAAGAAAACRTTTAAGACTGAACAACTTTAAAAACCATTTGACTTGATTTGGAGGAAAAATTATATCACACATTAACTCCTAACTTTGCATAAGCCACATGAAATACACTAAAAATAACTATCTTATTCTAATAACTTCTTACAGAAACAAAGTTTCAGTTGCTTACCTGCTAATAAATTGTTCCACCTGTTCTGAGGGGAGAGGGAAGATAGATTTTCTAATGGCAAAGCAAGGGACAAATGAGTAACAAAAAAATCACTCTCTGTTTTTTATGAAATTCCATAGTTATTTCTATTAAGAACTGCCTCAGGACATAAATGGAAACTCTACTTTCTAACTTTGTGACCTCCAAATCTTTTAGTTACGTTAAATGCAGTCTTTTGTGTTTGATATATAATTCCTTAAAGTTCTCTTGTTCCCTGCAGGGCTAATGGAACAATCCACAATTGTTAAAGCTGGAAAATGACATTTGAATGAAGATCAAAGTTTCATATTAAAGGATTTACAAGTTCCAATGCCAAAACAAGATTTTTATTTTTAAAAACACATTGTGTGTGTGTGTGTGTGTGTGTGTGTGTGTGTGTGTGTTTACATAAATATTAAGTCTGGGAGTGAGTAACTTCTTCAGGCTAAGTATTCTGAAAAGGAAAGATAGAAACTGGACTGCAGAGACTAGGATGGGGGGACAGTCCACAATACTCTCAAAACTTGTTTATGTGGGACAAAATTGCAGAAACTAGGGAGCAGCTGCAACTTTGAATCAAATTGGTATATAGCTTTTATTACAAATCTTATCAATTGTCCAGAACAATTACACTATTACAATGCAGTGATACATTATAATTATTTCCAGTAGGATGCTCTTGAGAGGGGCTGGGAAATTAGATTCATATCTCAAAAAGCACTTAATTTCTGCCAACAGAATGATTCAGTTGCTCTGGTATGGGGACCAGGATTTTTGTTTTTAGAAGTGCCCCAGTTGATTTCCTATGATGTTTAGAAAACACTGATCTAGATGACTGAAATAAATGGAAGTTTTTAGAAGGATGCTCACTTTGAATTAAGTAGAGTCATTTTAAGAACATGTACTTCCTTCATCTTATCTAAATCACCCCATGTTTCCATGAAAGAAGGACATTTCCATTTTGCCTGTTTAAAAAAGAAAGAAAGAAAGAAAGAAAGAAAATTATTCTAGGAACACTGGAGGAACAACAACAACAACAACAACAACAAAACACTAAAAACGAAAACACCAACAAAAAAAACAGAGATGAGTGGGGTACAGTGACACAGGTCTATAATCCTAGCAGCTCAGAGGCTGAGGTAGGAGGATTACATGTTTGAAGCCAGCCTCAGAAACTTAGCCAGACCCTGTCTCAAAATAAAAATAAAAAGGACTGGAGATGTGGCTCAGTGGTTAAAGCACCCTTGAATTCAATCCCTGATTGATTTTTTAGTAGTGAAGTAAAAAGCATGTATTTACTATATTCAAAAGACATTTGAAAAACAGTAAATATTTCACCCTTAAAGTTGTGAATTATGTTATTTATTTAACATTTTTATTTCATTAAATTGTATTTAAGGGGTTGGGGATATAGTTCAGTTGTTTGAGTGCTGGCCTAGCATGTACAAGGCCCTGGGTTCAATCCCCAGCATCACCAAAAAAAAAAAAAAAAAGGTATTTAAAGATGAATCCTGAAGAATAGAAATATGTCATTAATTTTTCTTTAATTGTTTTGGCTTTTACTAAATTGATGCATAGTCAGTTTAAGAATTCAAGCCATATAGAAACATGTGAAAAGAAATAAAAACCTTTAAATATCTTGTTATCTTAACATCTTGATAAACATCTTTCTGGACATATCTATTAAAATCATATATGTATATAAATATATAATATACATATATGTGTAGTTTTACATAAAATAATTTTTTATAAATTAAATTGCAGATTTTTTTTAATGGTACTGGGAATTGAGCCCAGAGACTCTCATACTAGGCTAGTGTTCTACCACTGAGCCACATTCTTATCACCTTTATTTTTTAAATTTGAGATAGTTTCTCACTAAGTTGCCTAGCTAGCCTCAAACTTGAGAACCTACTACCTTAGCCTCCTGAGTCACTGGGATTAAAGGTGTGTGCCACCATGCCTGACCTACAGAACATATTTTTTAAAAACCTAATATAGTAGGCTGGGGCTGGGGCTCAGTGGTAGCACACTTGCCTGGCATGTGTGAGGCACTGGGTTCGATTCTTAGCACCACATACAAATAAATAAAATAAAGGTCTATCAACTACTAATTTTTTTAAAAATCTATTGTAAAATTATGTYTTTTAGTGCCTTTAAAGAATGATCTACATTGAAGTTATAATGGTTATATGACGTTTCTTTTCGTTCTTTCCTTTTGTTTTTTCTTGTGCTGAAGATTGAACCCAAGGATGTTCTAATTCTGTGCTATATCCCCAGATGTTTCAATTTTTATTTTCAGACAGGGTCTCACTAAGTTGCCCAAGCTGACCTCAAACTTGGAGTCCTCCTGTCCTGGCCTCACAAGCAACTGGGATTACAATCATGTGCTACCACTTTACCTTTTTTGTTATTTTTGTTTTGTTTTTTATTTTATTTTTGTAGTGCTGGGAATCAAACCCAGAATCTTCAACACGCTAGGCAAGCACTCTACTTGACTGAGCCATATCCCAGCCCCTCATTCTTTATCCACACCAAAAGTTACTCTGCACCACAGCTTTCTCAGCTGTAAAATATCCTCCAAATGGTATTGTAATCCACAAAGATCACTTAACAACAGTGCCTGGCACATAATAAACACTCAGTAAATCTTAGCAACTATTATTATTATATATTGTGTTGGTTTCCAATTTTCTATTACTAAAAGCAATACTATGACTAAATTAAAAGGCATATTCTCTACAAATTCTTAAATAAACTGCCTMTGTTTGATCATTGCTTTGGTCTTTTATAAAACACAGTGATGAAAAGTATTTGAAATGAATTATAGTTTCAACAAAGGCCAGTCTTTATTGTTCAATGATCAGTCAATAACTGACCCATATAATTACACCTCTAGTTATATAAAAATATTTTATAAAGTTTAGAAATAATATTTTAGGTCTTTTTAAAATAAAGGTTTCACAATTCTAGATTAGCAGAAAACTTATTATGTGGTTTGTTGAAATGATTGATCTTTTAAGATGCTTCCAGTCCTAAATGATGTTATTGTCATGTTGGGGACCAAAAGGCTTGCAGGATCAGTGTCCAGTGTTGTCAGACTAACACCCCAGATTCCCTGTCCAACCTGATCTAGCCCTGATAATATTACTGTACTTGAATGTGCATCATTCATTGAGTTTGATTTTTCAGTCTGCTTAAAAAGGTAAGAAAATACCAGTCTGAGGCATATCTATGACMGCTGGGAAACAAAAGCATCTATTCGTGAAAGATTCTAAAGAGTCAGAGTCGAGTCTAAGAGCTCATTCTTGGGGCTGACTCACTGCATCCTGCATTGTCTTTGAATGAGGCACAAATCAATCCCAAGTCCAAGTCCCTTTGATACAGGGTCTCCCAGCCAAAGACCCCCACCTAATGCTGAATAGTGGATGTTGCACTTTACCTTCCCAAAGACTCTGCTAAATCCTTGGACACTTACCTGGTGCTCACCGTAAAACCCCACCATACCCGAGGATGTCTCACTGCTATCTCACTGAGAATGGAAGTGTGAGGCCAGTGTGACAATGGAGTTTTATCAGTAATGATTTCCAGGCCAGGTGAAACAAGGGGAAGGAAGTGTTCAATAGACCTGAGAAAGAAACCTAACAAAACAAGTCCTAGATCCACATTTGGTTCTTCTGTTTTTACCAAGGAAGCCAGAATCTACTAGACTTTTTCCAGTCCCTTATTCCTGGTGTACAGAAAATAAATGATAACACCTTGCCATGAAGCAGCTAAATTACACATTCAGA